GCTGTGTATAATAGAGGTAAACAGGGATAATTTACTGAGTATCAGCAAGATAGGCGCTGGAGTGGCCCCTTGTGCTGCTGTTATTGGCCAAAATAAAGACCAAAGTCCAAATCTATTCAGTATCTTCCTTGAACGGCGGAGGAAGCAGTCAAATGTGTGTGACAACAATGAGTTTAAGAGGCAGGTAGAAGAAACATAAACAATTTTGGCCTTTTTGGAAAATAATTCCATACAAACTGTCTTACGTGAAAATCTCAAAATCCTCGGATCTGAATATGGTGAAGTTGCGACAGAAGACGGCAGTTACCGCGAATAGCTAGCCTGAGGAGGGTGACAGTTAATTTCAACTTGAAAGTCAACGGTTCCGAATAAAACAGAACTCGGCCCAATTGTTGGTTACCCGATGGTGGATAATGCAACGGCGTCCAGCAAAGTCATTTTTGAAGTGGTTTTAAATACTTATGGGATATATACACATATAAAACGTATGAACTGGTGGTGATATCGCCTACCTGTTCGACCAGTTCTCTTGCGCGTGTGATTATGTTAGCTCCTGTGTGGCAGACAATGCCAGCCATCTCCATAGAATGCCACCGGGCACCTCGCCGCATGACGTAGCCGTAGAAGGAGTTGAGGATGCACTTATGAGCCAACTGCAAACTGTCATAGAGCACCACCATCGAGCTGGCCTCCTTGACTAGGGCCGGGTCACCAACGCCAGCTGCGGCAGCGGCCGAAGTTTCATCCAGTTTGCGCTTCCAAACCTGTAGTAATTTTTGGGTGAAGTTATCAGTGGGAGTACAGCGGCGAAAGTAGCAGTTAAGAAGCATACAAAAAAGCAAGGAGCGTACCTTTGTAAGGCCCTTGAATTTGTAGCGACGATCACGGAATGACCGAACGGTATCCACGTAAAACGAGTTCTCTCGCTGACAGACCATAGCCACACGCTCTTCCATGCGAGTCGTGTGGATTCGTTTGTATGCACGTCGACAGAAGTCAGTAAGACGCTTCTTCTCCACAGTCGCCTGTTCTTCACGAGATAGTTCGTGAAAAGCGCGTCGACCGCCGGTACTGCCACTTTCGCTCAC